TATATATATATATATATATATATATATATATATACTCAGTAATATTTATAGTTATTATATATTTGCTGCATTCTATACTGCTAAAATTAGTTGTATTATATTATAAATTAGTTAATATGTCCACAGAATGACAGTCCAAAATGATTCCCAACAACCAAATTGGCACAACTGCTGATTGCAACTGCTCTTTCATTGCAACTGTCAGAGTTCCAGGTTGCATCGGTGTGAGAATTTGACTGCAGTGCAGTAAAAATTGAGTGGCGAGATATGGCTGAGAGGTTGCTGGCCTGGATGATAATGCTTACAAAGGGGTCAATGCTTTCATTCTGTTCAGGTCACTACCCCTCGGGGGACGGAGAGCGAGGGGGAGGGGCCTGTCATGAGTTTTTTATTTATTTATTTTATTTTTTTTATTTTTTTTACAAATCTCTAATGTAGACTCTAAATAAAATATTTTTTAATACTTCTTCTTATATAGTGAAGTTCTGCATTATTTAGGTTTTGGTGGACCAGACTGCTGGATTCAATAGTTGTCTCAGCAATATTTATTATTAATTGTATTAAAAATAATTAATTTTTCAAGTAATAGTAAATTATCCATCAAGTAATGCACATAAATGCAGAGATCTGCAGATCCACTGCATTTAACTTCAGTATGATTGAAACATGAACCTGACTGATTCATGTAAAGAATTAAGAAAAATGGAAAAGAAAAATAGTTTAAAAGATATTTGGTAATTCATGTTCCATTTTCTGGTGAATCGAGACCAGTTTATACTCAGTGCAAGGTTATTATCCAAGGTTAGTGAATGGTTGAAGTATATGTTTGAGAAATTATTTTTTTTTTTGTCTCAAATCAAGCTGTTCAAATTGGATGAGTAGGTGTGACGGTGTACTGCATGTATGACACTATCATACATGATGTTCTGTGAATATTATTTCAACGTTTGTTGTTTCATTGTGTCCTCTAATGTCAACATCTGCAGACTTATATTTCTTTCTGTTGTTTCTAGCTGCATAAACTACTTTATTTTCTTTTTTTATTAAATATTTTATTATTTATTATTAATGTAACACCTACTGGTTTGCAATCAACAGTGACGTACAACAACCTTACTGCGAACTTTTCTATGTGCACATTGGAATTAATTGTTTATCTTTGACCATGTTAAATGTCATAAGTTTATATTTCTGTCCATCCTTGTTCTATATATGCAGGTGCTAATTTCTGAATGTAAACTATCCCCTGTCCTCTCACTGCAGCCATTACTTACATCCTGCTCTCCCTTAATTATTCTTTTTGTGATCATCTTTCTTAGAGTTTGTGTCTTTGTTGTGTAAAGTTTGTGTACTGTCATTTCGTGTTGTTCTGTGTACTGTTGTGTCGTGTTGTGCTGTGTTTACGTGTTATTCTGTGTCTAAATCATACATACAGATGTGATGTAAATTGTATGTATGTGACTACCAGTGTTTTTGTTTAAAGGATGAACAAATATCCACTTGTGGATATTGCAAATATTAACCCGGACAGATTCACACTGATCAAATATACTGTGTATGAACTCAGACACACTATTGAAACTTAGCTGCATTATAGACTATAATGCTATAATGCAATAATTCACATAATGTTAAATATTAATTTCCCACTAGTAAAAAACATCAACGTCCTCTTTGAAAGCTCAGATTTTCCACACTTGTTCTTTGTGATGTAATTCGTTATCATGCTGGTTACTGCAAACAGATTAAAGTTTGAGTAAATTGTTCAACACAGTATATTCAACTTTTTTTATTGCTGCACAATTTCTAAGCCATTCTGAGGTTAATATTTGTGCCACTAACACTCACCTTCCATCCCACCCCCAGGCCACTCATACAGTCCTCGTAGTGTCACTAAAGTTTGACATGAGGTACGTAAACACAGCAGAGAGGGACTTTCATCCATGTCAGGTCAAGGGCTTGCCCATACGGATATAATCTCTATGGGCTTGTTAGCATGATTGTTAGACACCATAAGCTGTGCTAGGCTGTGAAGCTACAATGTTAAGACTCTGCATTTCATGCTTTCAGAGAACTTGATTCTCACTCTTTGACCATTTTAACAAAGCCTAACTAACTACACTTACAGTGACAGTCAACGTGAATTTAGCCACATCTCTATCGCAGATGCTAAAGAATTGCAGAAGCACAGAGTCTGTCAAGCTGAAGGTCTGAATTACACCAGTCCACAACACTGTTGTAATTCTTCATACATAACCTCTCACCAAAGCCCTTCAGTGTTGCATGCGTGAGGCTGGTGAGTGTGATCTATGGGCTTGTTAGCATGATTGTTAGACACCATAAGCTGTGCTAGGCTGTGAAGCTACAATGTTAAGACTCTGCATTTCATGCTTTCAGAGAACTTGATTCTCACTCTTTGACCATTTTAACAAAGCCTAACTAACTACACTTACAGTGACAGTCAATGTGAATTTAGCCACATCTCTATCGCAGATGCTAAAGAATTGCAGAAGCACAGAGTCTGTCAAGCTGAAGGTCTGAATTACACCAGTCCACAACACTGTTGTAATTCTTCATACATAACCTCTCACCAAAGCCCTTCAGTGTTGCATGCGTGAGGCTGGTGAGTGTGGGTTGTGTTATTGTGTGTGATGACGATCATGAGATTAATCGACAGGTCAATGAGTATGCTGGAATCATTGTACTGTTAGTAAATACAGAAAATTGCAAAATGTAGGTATTATTAGACTTTTGTTCTTCCATGACCATGAAAGCTCAATTCTTAAATATATCTTAAATATTTTGTTTTGATTACAGTTCTTTTTCCTCCCCTGCCCTCTCCCTTTTATCTGTTTTAGTTTGTCTGTTTTTTTGCTTTTTTCCTGCTTTGCTCTATTATTATTTTTTTTGGTCTTGTTATACTGCCATTCTAGGTATCTAGATCTGTTGTTCTTGGTATCTTTGAACTGGAATCCAAAAGCATAGTTATATCCAAACACAATTATTTTCATGTATGCATTGTCATAAAGCAGCTATTTGTGCTAAGAATGGGCTACTAATGCTTTTTTAATCATCACATTTACGTTGTAATTGTTCAGAGAAAAAAGGAAGAAAGATAGCAAGTGCCAAAGGTGTACTTATACTGCCTAGCCATATTGATCCTAATTAATCCCATTAAGGGAAGACAAATGCTTATAGGGAATTAAAGACAGTCCAGAAACAGGAAGTGTGATCTTATCTGTACAGTGTTTGCATCACGGGTGCAGGCACAGAACATGACGTTCATGCACACATTATTTTCTCTCTGTAAATGAGTGACTCTTATGTGTTTTTATTAGTTACAAACAACAAATAATTTGGTTAAATATGTATATTTCCTCAAATTCATGATGAAAAACGGTCACTTTCTGAAACATGATGACCCAGATCTCCCATTAAGGGAAGACAAATGCTTATAGGGAATTAAAGACAGTCCAGAAACAGGAAGTGTGATCTTATCTGTACAGTGTTTGCATCACGGGTGCAGGCACAGAACATGACGTTCATGCACACATTATTTTCTCTCTGTAAATGAGTGACTCTTATGTGTTTTTATTAGTTACAAACAACAAATAATTTGGTTAAATATGTATATTTCCTCAAATTCATGATGAAAAACGGTCACTTTCTGACTTGCACAAGTGGTCTGGTGTGAGGAACATGATGACCCATGCCAAAGGTGTACTTATACTGCCTAGCCATATTGATCCTAATTAATCCCATTAAGGGAAGACAAATGCTTATAGGGAATTAAAGACAGTCCAGAAACAGGAAGTGTGATCTTATCTGTACAGTGTTTGCATCACGGGTGCAGGCACAGAACATGACGTTCATGCACACATTATTTTCTCTCTGTAAATGAGTGACTCTTATGTGTTTTTATTAGTTACAAACAACAAATAATTTGGTTAAATATGTATATTTCCTCAAATTCATGATGAAAAACCCCTGGTGTGAGGAACATGATGACCCAGATCTATCTTCCACTGCCTTCCTTTGCAGCTTCTATAGGCGATGATCTGGTGTATATTTTGAATGACAAGTGGCTGTGCAGCACCCAGAGTGTCCCAGCAGCCCTCTGAGTCAGTCGCTCGCACGCACACACACACACACACACGCACACACACACTTCGGAACTACATCACGCAAGGGACTGGAGATAGGATTGCCGACTATATGACAGTAGGACCTTCTTACCACCCCGTGTTTTTCCTTCCTTGTGAGCTTTTGTCTCTTGTTTTGTTCTGTTAAGACTTATAACTCACTGTGTTTGTGTCTGTGTGGGAAGTTCTCCTGTGTCAGGAGGGGGTTGTCAACTATGTAATGTGCCAGCTCTTCCTTCCATATCCATTCGTGTTGGCTTTTTCAACAAAAACAAAAAAAACAGCAATATCTGAGTCCAGTTCCCCTTTTTACACAATCAAACAGACTATACAGAGGTAAGCTGTGTTTAGCTTTTATTATAACCAGTATTCAGCTATATGAAAAATTTTGTCGAAACTAAGTTTTTATTTCACCCCCAACATTGGAAAATTCTGTCGTGATTTATTCTCCTCATGCCGTGCCAGACCTGAATGACTTTATTTCTTCTGTGGAATGTAAAAGAACATATTTTGAATATGATTTAAACTGTTTTTGCCCATACAGTGGAAGTCATTGGAGTCTAAAAACACTGGTCTCTAGTGACATTCATTGTATAGACAATAAACACAGAGACATTTTTCAAAATATCTTCTTTTGTGTTCCACAGAAAAATAAAATTCACGCAGGTTTGGAATGACATTTACTAAACTTTCAGGATTTAAAAGTGCTGGTTTAAGTAGCCGGATCGCAGTGGTTGAATGTGTTACAGTCCTGGTAAAGAATGACAGATGGTAGTCTGCATACTGAATCGTCCACAAGCTAATACTCAGATTGCCCTGCCAGATCGTGATGTGCAATTACATACAACACATATTTTTGTGGGCATGTTTGCCATTATCTTTTTCGTGAATTAAGGATGAAAACACAAATAAACGCAAAGCATTTTTAGTAAATTCCCCCTGAAGTCATTTGAAATCTGACACAATTTATTAATAGAACCTACAAAGATGACTGAGACCTGAAAAGGGAATTTGTAATCAAATTAAACGACACTGGACTTAGTGGGTGAGAGCAGAAGACAGCCCAAACTCTTTACGAAAGTTTGGCCACACTTACGAAATCAGAAGTTTAACAAAGCCAGAAATGGTTGTGGAAGGAAAGCTTTCAGGCACTTTCGGGTCACGTGAAGCTGTTTTAAGTCCCTAATAATCTACTGAAACACACTTGTGTGTAAAAGGAAGACGGATTTGCTGCTAATAATGGAAAGACATTTAGTCTGAAACGCACAAGCTTCACCTGGCCCACAGTGCTGAGTGAGGCTGCTTTGACTAGACGGAGCTCCTCTGCTACTCCTCTGTTGGACTCCAGTGCTAGTATCAGAACGCAGAGTGTTCCGTCTGAGACTGGGTCAAACACCTGGATGCTAAACTCTTTACCTCACTATTGGTCTGAGTCAGCCATCAGGTGCTTCATCCACCTGCTCTTTTACACATCTGCTCTTATCTCTCCCTGAAAACTGTATGTGGCTGCGACTAAAGGGAGTTTTTTTTAATACTGCTGTGCCATAACAACAACAACAAAAAAAGAATTTGACAAGAAAACTTGATGACATTTCATAACTCTCATTTTCCTGTTTTGTCCTTGTCTCTGTCTCTGTCTGTCCCTGTCTGTCTTTCTGTCTGTCTGCTTCTGTGTCATTTACATCCATTTCATTGTCATTCTTTGCTTTTCATTTTGTTTTTTCCCCCTTCCCTTCCTTTCCCCTGATTTTTGAACTTGAAAAAATACCATTTTGTCATGAATTCAATGGTTTTTGCTCATAAAATGCTTCCATAATAATTCCATTTATTCATCTTTCTCTAATGTCCGTCATCTATCCATTAACCATCCGCCGGATTCTTGGGTTTGTAGCTGCTGGTTACGAGAAGTCCCGCAGCCTCAATAACATCTCGGGGATGACAGGGGCCCCCCTGCGCTTGACCCCCATCACCCCCATCAACAACCCACCCTATGAGCCCTACGAAACCCCTGGCCCCCTGCGCCGCTGCCGATCCCCCATACCCTCCATTCTGTAGCACATCTTAGGGAACGACGACAAAATATGCACCATCATACCGCAATAGTATTAATAATCACAATAACGATGCTAAGTATTCACACCTCTGCTCCTCCATTGACTGGACAGGGTGGGGGTACACAGCACTCTTTTTAATATGTCATGCCTCAAAGGGTGGGATGAATTTGTTTAGGGATTTAGAGCTTTAAGTACTAAAATTACTTCATCGCATATACTTCAGGCAATATTTCAGACAGGCAACTAAAAATTATATGCTGTAACGTAAGCGGATTATGCCTTATCAAAGATGAAAAAAAAGAAGCACTGAATATTATTAGGATAAAACTCCTCACTGGTCCATAGACAGCGACGAGCACCTTGTAGGAAATCTACCCCTGTAGTTGAATGACAGTAGTTGGCTTTTCCTCATGTTCCTGCCTGATTGCTGGTTGTATAAAAAAAAACACGAGACTGTGATCCAGCAGGCTTATTCATTGAGTACTAGTCACTGAGATCAGCTTTGATACACCATAATAGGCCTTGAAAAATCCACTTCATATCAAAGCTTGGAATGATAAAGGTCATAGGTCACAGACAACATGCAAGTAGTTCAAGTGCATGCTAGAAAAGACGTCAGTTAGGCAAGTAGAATATAACTAAACTCCCAATCACCTTTAACTGCTATGAAGATATGAAAATAAACGCACCATATGCTGGACTGATTTGAACTTCTAATTAAGCCCTGATTTGACTGTGATGAAGGAGTTTTTGGTGATTCAGGCCATAGAACATGATGAGTATTATGATTATGATAAATACAAGGACCATCTTTAATCACACACTAAGTATTTCCTACAGCAACATTTGTTGTCACTTGATATTTTAAACTATTAAGTCACACCGTTATTATAATTATGCTCTATTTAGGACAAAGACAAATGTTTAAACCATTGTAGTGCAATATCAACTATTATGATGACCTCTGACCCTGAGAAGCTGGAGATAAATCCTGCAAACTTTACTATGTGTAACTATTAACTGTTGTAAACTAACAGAGAGACCGAGAACTGATCATTATTTAAAAAATACGCTATTTTTGTACTAAGCATTTGGACATTGCAATTCGGATCGGGGTTTGGAGTTGTGCTGGCGGCTTTGAGTTGACATTTTGGGAGGACAGGATATCGTGCTGTTGCATGGAGATCTACAATTAACGTTTTGGTTTTTGTATTTTGATTCTCCTCATATTCAATACCAAGTACCACGAAATGAAAAGAGCAGTGGTCTGGACAAATGGCGGGAAAAAATAAATAAATAAGGAGGAGCCATTCCTATTAAGGGCCTATAACCTTCTGCACTTCTTCGGGACCCTTTTCAGTTTGTATACTAGTGCATGAAGGAACTGTCTTTAAAATATATCCTTTCCTTATTATGGTATTTCCTCATTAATATGAAGACATATCAAGCTGAACTGCACTCCTCACTGCATATCCACATATCCTGGGGCTGTGGTGAACCAGACAGTGGCCTCTAATGTTTCCCTACAAAGGGCAAGAATTAGCTGGACCTTTTCATCATCATCACTGGCATTGCCTTCCCTCATCATAATCATTTTCTGATTACTGTTATTCCTATCATTTGAATGCAGTAGAAAATCAGTTCAGTTTGTTTTCTCTTTGGTCCTCTTCTTTTCTTTCTCTGTTCCTTTTTTTTACCTGCTCTGTCTCTTGGATGCTGACCTTCGTTCCAATATAAAGGAGGGAACATTGAATGGATGCTGGATTGACAGCGGTCAGTAAGAGAAGAAAAAGAAAAGATGACAAAATGAACTCTCTGAAATGCAGATATATGAGCCATATGTTTCACTGTGGGGGATTTGTGTCGATCTGCTGCATATTTGAGTGCACAGATGCAATACACACCTCTGCTGAAGATATCTCTGCAATGGCAGCTCACAAAGCTTCTTGTCTTTTTCTCCATGTGAAACAACAGAAAACCTGGGGTATAAATGACAAAACTTTATCAGAAAGCAAAGTAGCACTATTTATTGTCTTGCAACTGAAATATTTTACATACACATTTAATATTTAATCATTTGTTAATTTACTGCAGTTCATCTGTAATCATTCTTCTGAATTAAGCAATATATTTATTTTACTATTTATTTGCATTTAGGTTTTTTATTTTCATGTTTTTGCTATTGCCACATTACTTGTTACACTCCTCTTTCCCTCCTCTCTTCTTTCCTGTTTAAAGAAGTTCACTGCTAGAGTGAAGAAAGTCATGGAGGTTGTTGATTACATGGAGCATCTGCATGGCAGCAGCAAACTAATGTGTGGCACTGTGCTTTAATGAGTAAAACACCAATCATCATTCGTCTGCATGTGCGCTGCACTGCTTTATGTACATGCTTCATATATACACGGAAGGCCTCAGGACAGTGAGCAGGGACCATCTGTTGGATTTGTGCTACGCCACATGTGTGTTCAGTGTTTTAGGGAGATTCTCAGATCATTGTTATGAGTGATAATTGAGCAGGCATCTTTTTTTTTTTTTTCTTTTTTTTTTAACCAGCAGGTTATTTAGGCATTCAAAGACTAAATGCAGTAACTACACCACACAATTGTTTTTTGAATCTGAGCATAGTTGAGTCAAACCCATCCAACACACAACAGATTATAGTTTAAGAGAGCTGATTTTGCTCATGACTTCATTATGAAAATATGCATTTACTATGTTTTGTCTTTGCACGGCAGAACTGTTTGAGGCAAATAATCTATCATAGATTTTTAATTGTTTTAAAAGGTGGATATTAAAAATGTATGTTACAAGGTACCTTGTAAAACAAACAAGTGCAAGTGTGCATTATTTATAATCTTAAATTCAGACAAAAGGCCTGATATATTTAGAAGGAGAGAAAGAGGAAGACTAAAATGCCTGTATGATTCAGGTCCAGCCAAAACACTGTTTTATTTCTCACCATGTCCTTCTCCTCTTCATCTCTCTTTTCTTTTCCTTTCTTTGATTTTAATGCTCTTTATGAGGGTGTATAGTTCAGGTCTTAATGATATGTGCAGTTTTGAAGGTTGACTTTGTAATTTCCACATGCATGGATTTCTATTGCGAGCAATAAGGAAATTATAAGTCTATGTGTTTTGATAAGAAAATGTATTTTAACAAAAAGTTTTTTTTTACCTGCTCTGTCTCTTGGATGCTGACCTTCGTTCCAATATAAAGGAGGGAACATTGAATGGATGCTGGATTGACAGCGGTCAGTAAGAGAAGAAAAAGAAAAGATGACAAAATGAACTCTCTGAAATGCAGATATATGAGCCATATGTTTCACTGTGGGGGATTTGTGTCGATCTGCTGCATATTTGAGTGCACAGATGCAATACACACCTCTGCTGAAGATATCTCTGCAATGGCAGCTCACAAAGCTTCTTGTCTTTTTCTCCATGTGAAACAACAGAAAACCTGGGGTATAAATGACAAAACTTTATCAGAAAGCAAAGTAGCACTATTTATTGTCTTGCAACTGAAATATTTTACATACACATTTAATATTTAATCATTTGTTAATTTACTGCAGTTCATCTGTAATCATTCTTCTGAATTAAGCAATATATTTATTTTACTATTTATTTGCATTTAGGTTTTTTATTTTCATGTTTTTGCTATTGCCACATTACTTGTTACACTCCTCTTTCCCTCCTCTCTTCTTTCCTGTTTAAAGAAGTTCACTGCTAGAGTGAAGAAAGTCATGGAGGTTGTTGATTACATGGAGCATCTGCATGGCAGCAGCAAACTAATGTGTGGCACTGTGCTTTAATGAGTAAAACACCAATCATCATTCGTCTGCATGTGCGCTGCACTGCTTTATGTACATGCTTCATATATACACGGAAGGCCTCAGGACAGTGAGCAGGGACCATCTGTTGGATTTGTGCTACGCCACATGTGTGTTCAGTGTTTTAGGGAGATTCTCAGATCATTGTTATGAGTGATAATTGAGCAGGCATCTTCTTTTTTTTTTCCTTTTTTTTTTAACCAGCAGGTTATTTAGGCATTCAAAGACTAAATGCAGTAACTACACCACACAATTGTTTTTTGAATCTGAGCATAGTTGAGTCAAACCCATCCAACACACAACAGATTCTAGTTTAAGAGAGCTGATTTTGCTCATGACTTCATTATGAAAATATGCATTTACTATGTTTTGTCTTTGCACGGCAGAACTGTTTGAGGCAAATAATCTATCATAGATTTTTAATTGTTTTAAAAGGTGGATATTAAAAATGTACAAGGTACCTTGTAAAACAAACAAGTGCAAGTGTGCATTATTTATAATCTTAAATTCAGACAAAAGGCCTGATATATTTAGAAGGAGAGAAAGAGGAAGACTAAAATGCCTGTATGATTCAGGTCCAGCCAAAACACTGTTTTATTTCTCACCATGTCCTTCTCCTCTTCATCTCTCTTTTCTTTTCCTTTCTTTGATTTTAATGCTCTTTATGAGGGTGTATAGTTCAGGTCTTAATGATATGTGCAGTTTTGAAGGTTGACTTTGTAATTTCCACATGCATGGATTTCTATTGCGAGCAATAAGGAAATTATAAGTCTATGTGTTTTGATAAGAAAATGTATTTTAACAAAAAGTTTTATGAACATGTTTGTTGATACGATTGTGTACATATGGATGTGTATATTCATATGCACATGCATATTGATGATTTGCATGAAACAAATGTACAAACTTTTTTCCATTGATGTTTTGTTACCAATCTGTCAGTTTTGACTTGATTGCTGTGGGGGGCGGGGCTTAGTTTTGCATGCTAAGTTGCTATTGGGTGGCAGAGACCATTACAACTGTTGTATTGAATGTGGGGTTTTGAATGTGCTTTAACTATGTACTTGTTTAAGTTTTCTTTTCTTTGTTAGACATCAAAAGCATTGCAGATTGTCATGATATGATTTATTCTTTTTCATCTTTTCACAGAGAACTATTCTGAAAGCCCAGTGCTTATCAGATATATGCAAAACGAAGCAGTAACTGTGAACTAAGACTAGAACAGAAAATCCACTTCTTCCTTCACAAATACATTCCCAAACGCACACCTGAGCCCCCGAACCTGTATCAGCTCTCATACAAGTCCATTTTAGTGTGTATTCTCATCTCATCAGTCTTGTTTAATCATCTTAGTTTTCCATTATTAATGAGCAGAATAGTTGTTCTCTCCCCCCTTGCTGTTGTGTTAACCTCAGCTCTAGCCCCCTCTGCTGGTCTTACGGGGGATGAACTAACGTAGCATTCGCTGTTGTAGATCATTAGCACTCTTTGGTCACTTTAGAGGCTAAGAATACAGATTTTTAGCCCTTAATGTTTACATGTTATATTTAAGATTAAAGAAAATATTCTATTTATTTTGAACATTTATTTGAACACACTCCGAAGGATTGATTTCCTGTTCTCTCTTGTGTGTCACTAAACACTGATCTGATCAGAGCAGAGAGAAAGAAGCTAATGCTAAGAAGTCTGCTCACTGCAGCAATGCATGTTTCCACACATTCAAGATAGCTAGCACTTAGCATCCTAGTGCATTTTGTGGTTTTGCTGTGTGTAGTCTATCTGTAAAGGCGTAGTCAGAGTGGATGGGATGACTCCACTTTTATCCCTTTATCTAATTTCTGAAGTTATGATGTGAAAGTGACAGGCCTGCCACTAGTTAGCTTAGTTAGCAAATGCCCTGGTAAGCAGAGGCTGCATGCGATCACGGAGGACAATGTAATTAATTCTCCTGTACACAGACTGCATGTGGAGTTAACAGCACAGAAACTATTGTTAGATTCAAATGTGGCATTTGAAACGGGGAGAGCAGGTCGAGTTCAAATGATTTAGCGACATTATCCAGAATCCTCTCTGTTTCTGACTTACTCCCCTGTCACTACTCAGGTAAATCTCTTTTTGTTCGTCTATACCAGTGCTTCCAAAATGATGTCATTCGAAACAAAGAGAGAGGCAGATGGGAACACCCCGTGTACACATGCATAATCATGTTTGATCCCAACACTCGTTCCAAGTCTTCCTTTTCCACAATGTCCTTCACATCCTTCATTTCATCATTTCATTTGTCACTTTCATTTATTCCCAACTCTTACTGCTTCCAAATAACAACCAAAAAGCCCGGATGACATTATGAGAAACTGAGGAAAAATAATGAGTGATTTGTTTGAAAAAAAAAAAAGAACTTTCGATTACAAAAAAAAAAAACCTGTATGTGGAATCAGGACACAACCAAATTCAGGAGATGAAAGCTTGAGGGTCAGATGGACAGATTGTGTGTTTGGGGAACAGAGGTTTGGGAGGATTGTCAACAAATGAAGAAAGGCGTCGTGAAATGGAGGACAGTTTGGGGAAGAAAGAAAAAAGCAAAGAGAGGAGGAAGGGAGCTGAACGCTTCTCAGTGTAAGAATGTGTATATGGTGTTCTGTGCGTCACACTGCGTGTTTTCATGTGATGTGCCTGACTGTGTGCTTAGTGTTTTGATTTTCTTTGTGTGACACTTTGTTTTCCCGCTCTTCTAGTGTTTGGCACTGTGCTTAAATGGCGCACTCGCTCTCTATTCCCTATGCCAGCTTCACTGTTTGGAAAAATATCAAAATAAGGGCACTTCATGGGGAATAGCGAGTCGTCTTGGGACGCACCCTTTGTGTGAAGGGGATTCACTGATGTACAATGAGCTTTTGCTTTGTTCTGGTCCATCCTAGAGGGCTGACAAAATCAGTGATTGTTAATTGATTCTGTTGATTTTATTGACATAGTTTTAGAACAAGATTTTGTGGCCCTCAACGACTGGAACTTTTATTCAGCTTTGTGCGTGTTTGTTTTTGTGAGTGTGATTCCAAGAGTCTTGCATTTGTGTGTTTTGTTTTTGAACGCATGTTACGATGGGCTTTGCTATGAGTACACTTGGGTTTTTGGTTTGTTTTGTTTCTTTTTACATTGGTATTTAGGAGACTTTATGAAAATAATGTTCCATGGACATCACTCCAAAACAAGCAAAAAGAAAAAAATGTGCGTTTGGCTTCTTTAGCTTCGGCTCTCTCAGTTGCGCGGTCTGAAACGGCTGGCATCTGCGAAAGCCTCTAGCAGTGTGTAGCTTTTAATGCGTTTGTGTTAAGGCGATGTGATGCGTGACGCGATACTGATTTATCTGTCCTCCATTTTCCTATTCCCCTCTCTTTCTGTC